TGAGAATAAATTCTTTCATTTTATCTAATATGCTATATCAAGAAAGAAAATGAAAAATTCAAAGTTACCAATATTAAAAACACATTAAGGATAAGCATTCTATTTTTAAAAAATTAATGACTACTTATACGTTACATGAAAATACAGTATGATATTTTAATAAATTCAGAGCATAATCGGAATTAAATGGTGAGTGACAAACAGAACAACAATAAAAAACATGATAACACTTACCCTAAGTAGAATTATTTGTGCTCCGATGAAACACTATAGGTATTACTAGCAAAGCATCTGTCATGTAAGTATCCATCTTCCTTCTATGAGATGTCAAACTCTTAGAGGGCTGAAATGGATAGTCATCTTTCTATCCAAAGAACCCGTTCCTAGAAACATAGTCACTAAAATGTTTGTAGAATTAAATTACTCTAAAAGTGCTTTAATGATTAAAACCAAAATACTGACAAGATAATCTGTGCCAATTTAAAAGAAAAAATGCTTTTAAAGAAAAGCCACAGCCTCATACTGTGAACATACTAGAAAAAAAAGTTAAGAGCTAACAAAGTAAAATGTATAATCATCATCATGTTTTTTCATTGTTACCAACTGATTGGTTTCTAACTGCTGAAGTTTGCCATAGTAGTCAGTAACTATATAGTCACTCAGTAAAGCCCAGCCTTTACTCTACTTTTATTAATAAAATTTGATCACAGATGAAAAATATAAGATAGGCAATGCTGTTGAGCCAACTTTAATCGAATATACTCATTTATTCAAAGTTTTGACATTAGTTATTTAAGACAGTTTAAAATAAAGTGATATATGTTCAAAAATATGAGCTGTACACTGTAAAATATCTTCATATTTGACTTTGCTTCCCAGCTCACTTACCCTTGCTTTCTTAAGTATTAGTTAAATTATATCTCTCCTGAGTCAGAAAGATTTTGTTGCTGTGAAAAAAGGAACAGGACATTTCTATGAATAATTTAATTCATGACTAAAATATATTCACTTTGAGTATAAAATTTAAAAAATTAATTTGAATGCATTTTAAAAAATGTTTACAAGGTCATGTGTTCATATACAATAATAGTAAAGTAACCAAATGAACACAATGGAGAAGAACATGATTATGGCCAGTCAGCATAATCTCAACTTTAACTTTGCAGGAAAAAAGTTTACTTTGCGTTAATTACATATTCATAAATGTAAAGTGAAAATGACCAAATCTACATGCAAAAGCAGGTAATTTTTTATGTTAGTCATGTTCTATTTTAAGATAATACATCTTTCTTAGGATGGTCAGGTTCCAAAAAAACTATCTTTTTTAGTGACTGTTCTAGTAAACTATAGATACAGTTTTCTTGCTTACATTGAGTTTAAGTGTTCGAGGTTACACATAGTTACAAAAACACATCCCAAAAGAGTAGCTCCTAGGCACGACTATGAATATCAGATACTAAAGATATCTTGTTAAATTTACGGCACCATTTAGCAATGACTTACTTAGCAAATAAAATGTGCTATTTATTAATCTATCTACAAAGGTAAATATTTTCTTTCAAACATGTCTTCATTGTATTTATCATGCATTAAATGTAAAAGGTGTAAAAGTCAGATTCTCAGGTAAAGAACCTGAAATTATAATTTGGTATCATGAAGCAAGCCACTGACAACTAAATCTTACAAGGAGAAATAACTTCGTTGTTGGTTATAAAATCTAAGCAGGGACTTGTAAGATGGCTCATTTAGATTATTTAGAAGACCTCTTAGCTGGTTAAGAAGTTATCTTTAGAACAGTGTATAGCAATTGCCAGAGCAGTGGGGGGAAATATCAGTCATATACCTTATACTGAGAAAGGAACACTGTTCTAAATCAGCTGCTAGAGCCTAAAATCACAACAGAGCTAAAAGTTCATTATGTTTTGGCTACATTAAAGAATTCATAACTTCATTAAAAGGGTTTGGTTATTTAAAGTAACTCTGTACCAAATCTTTTTGCAGTTGTTGTTGTTTTTAAGTCTCTGTAATGCAATAATCACATTCCCAATATTTTTATTTTGCAAAGCTAATACTTTTACTCATTTGGTTAAAATATAATGTCAACTAGTATTACTTACACTATATCATACCTATAGTCCACACATGGTTCTACAAGGAATTATTTCTAAGATTATATTAAACATACTTTCAATTCTTGTCACAGTGAAATTCTGGTTCTTATTAAACTGAATTATGTACATTCCACTTTTAATTCTTAATTTAACCCCTGAAAGAGTTTATTTATATCCCACCATGTTCCAAAGTGAGTATAAGGTGAGTTACTAAATAAATCTATACACTGATCAACTTAAAACTCTACAGAGGAAAAAGATATTGAAATAATAAAGTTTACCAATAAAAATAATTACCCAACAAATTATTTTATTCAAGAATAAAATTAAATGTGCCCTTTGCAAGGAAGATGACAAAAATTTATTATCTTCCACGAGTGGTAGGGGAGAAGGTATATCTTAATTCTTCTGCCTCTAGAGATTTCTGTCATTCTAGCCACAAAGAGTCAAAGAATTAGACTATTAAATAAGATTCTATATACAGTCTTCCTTTAATAGTAATAATTAAAATACCTCT